AAAAAATGGTTCGATTGACCACCCGGAACTCACCCGAGGCCCCGGGACCTCAACCAAAAGAACCAACACATCCTAACACCTTATTCAAACTTGTTCCGATCATCAAAACACCTCAAACAACATCAAATCACTCAAAACACATCGGATTCAAGCCTAAGTTTCTAAAATCTTCCGAAACACGCTTTTGATAAAAACCCAACCAAACCACGTCCGAATGACCTTAAATTTTTTACACACATCCCAAATCGGATAACGAAGCTATTGCAACTCTTGGAATTCCATTCCGACCCTTATATCAAAATCTCGCCTATTAATCGGAAATCGCCAAAATATCAACTTCGCCAATTCAAGCCTAAATCTACTCCGGACCTCCAAAACCCATTCCCATCACACTCTTAAGTCATAAATCACTTCCCGAAGCTAACCAAATGTCGGAACTCATATCCGAGCCCTCTAACACATAAGTTAACATCCGGTTGATCTTTCCAACTTAAGCCTTCCTAAAAGAGACTAAGTGTCTCAAACTTCACCAAAACCAACCCGACCAACCCAATACCTCAAAACACGGATAAACAAGGCATAAAGAAGCAGAAATGGGGGAAACGGAGCGGTAACTCATGAGACGACTGGCCGAGTTGTCTCATTAATATTATAGTCATGGTCAATCATCATAAGCAAAATCAGTTCTTATTTTACTTTTGCCTCTAATAACTTTTTATAAGGCATGTCAAAAATTTTTTGGCATACCACATGTACGTGACCAATGACATATTTATGTAACCACACAGTAATATTCATTATCTTTCTTTCTCTCAAACCTCCCTTAGAGGTGAGTTGTGGTGTGTCTTCAATCATGCATTGCACGTCTTTATTCATTACTTTATTACGTATTGTTACATTCACCTTCAGTAATGAATCTCCATTCTCATTGCTTATCACAAGTCACATTCTCTTCAAAGAATAGGGTATAATTACCGTGACGTGCTTTATAAATTTTCCGTACCAATTTGATAGTAAATATTTCCATCACCTTTTGAAGGATTACTTCAAGAACCCTTATTGTTCTCCTTTTATAGTTACCATAGTGATGACAATTATTATTTCGTCGCTTGCCATGCCCTCGTACATTCATACAGTCATGAAAGATTATTTTTATTAGTCATCATTAGATTATCAATATGGTGCATTGTGACTCAAACCCAATGCCTTACCCATATAAAGGCATATAAGGCTATAATGCGTTGGGACTCGAATCCAACTCTTATCATCATGTTGCACCAGGACTCAAACCCGATGTTTTACTCTTGTGGTGCGTTGGGACTTTAACCCATCGCCTTACCCTTAATTAGGCCAATGCATTGGAACTCATCCTTGAGCCAAAGTCAGTACTGAAATACGGTGCATGCGCATTAGTATCCAACTGTTTTAATAATTAGAAAATACAATATTCAGCTATCTATAAGGAAATTTTACTGAAGAGAGTTTTTAGTTTATGGTTCTGACATAAAACCTCTATAATAGACTGCACATATAAAGACTTCATGTGCAAGCCTCAACCGCACAAATAAATTGTAGTGGTAAAAATCAAAATTTGAGGTAATTAGTTACAAGTCATTACTAACTTTCACATAAAAAATAAGAAAAACAGGTTGTGCATTATATTATTAACTCCAAAAAAACGACTAAAGTATTATCCACTATATTTCAATGGGAATCATTAAATTAGTGAAAATAAGTTTCACTAAACATTAAAGCTACTTTAGATATAAGAATAAGGTAGTGTTCTAATCAAATATATATGGAATACGAGTGTTAGGATTTCTTATCCTATTCTAACCATGTAAGCATGAATAAAATTTGAAGCTATGTGTCAACATATATACAAATTAAATAGTTAGTTTGATTATGATGTTGTCATATTTGCATAAGTGTAAACTCAGACATGAATTATCAAACATACGCTGACATAAGAAATTAGGAGTAAAACTTACTGGACCGAAAAGATTGGCTAACTCTGATATAAACCCTTACTATTATGAAGAAAAATTAAAATAAAGTTACCTTGCCGCAAAATAGCATGGCCAAAGCCATGGAAATTAAAGAACACCTACCACATAATCTGAAAATAGAAGATCATGAAATAAGCAATTCGTGCTGATAACGTGTTATGAAATTAAACTCAAAATAACAATATGAAATAAGAAAATAGACAAGAATGTAGGGAGCAAGAGCTGAGAGATTCTTATTTCTTTCATATATTTAAGTGTATTACAAAATGACTTCTCATCCTCTATTTATGGTACTACATGTATACCAAAAGAATTCCATAAATATGCCATTAAGCATTTGAGATCATGGTGGAAGATCATGGAGGATGTATGGGAGTTACAACCACAACTCCATAAGTATTAGAGTAGTGGGAGTTATGGAAATAATGAAGAAGAGTAGTGGGTATTACTCATTTGGTGGTTATGGACATCCACTATAATTATATTTTAGAGAAATTTTCATAAAACACTATCTTTTAGTAGTAATTAGCCATCTATAGATACCATTTGCTATATTATGGAATATAGATACCTTTTCTGTGGTTATAAGATGTATTTGATGTATTTAAGCTATTGTATTCATGAATACAGTAGCAAAAATAGGCGTGAATCAGGGAAGTCCAGCTAATCAGTTGTTGTATTCGAGTGTATTGGACTGTATTCATGGAGTGAAACATGGGATTACAGCTGGATAGATTATTGTATTCGACTGTATTCACGGCGTGAAATAGGGGATTACACTATTTTTAAAACAGAAAGTGAATCAATTAACATAAATAGACTCCTAATATAACTCAACAAACTCAATTATAACACACAAATTTTGTATTTTTCAGTTATAAAAAAGATTCTCAACCGCAAAATACGATGAAATAGATAGAATACAGAGGGATACTGATAACAACATGATAGGGGATTCAAGAATTACTAAGAAAAATAAGAAAATCAAAAAACGTGCGGAAGCTAAATAAAAATAAAGAAACAAAAAAAGGACGGAAAATTAAAGATAGATTGAATTCAAGAAAGAGTTTCTTGAATTCAAGAAGTCTATTCTTGAAGTTGAATCCTAACAACAACAATTAGCTAACAAAGAACTAATTGCCTTTGGTAGAGAATTAAAAACAAGAGATAGATGGTGAAACCCGACCCTTTAGAATAGCAAGAACAAAAATAAGCCTAAACTTATCACCTTTCTTGAATACCTAGAAGTGATCTAAGATTTAGAAAGAGTTTAATCTTACCACCTTAAGTTGAGTCTTGAAGGTTGAAGAATAAATCCAAGAGTAGCCACACACAAGAGTGCAAGAAAAATCTCACAATTTTTATTGATAATAGTCTAAGTCTAAAAGCAAAGAAGATACCCCTTTATATAGGGAAGGGGTCACGAAATTCTACCTAAAAAAATAAGGAAATAAAATCCTAAACTACTTTGGACAACATGTCCAACTACCATAGGAAAAGGTAAAACTCTAGGAAACAAAAACCAAGTCAATCATGAAAAGTAATTTCAATAATCTTAGGAAAAGAAAAACAAAACCTTAACTACCTAGGAAAGCAAGAAACATGTCCTAACAAACTAGGAAACAAAATAAGGAAACTTGGGGGCCAAGTTTGATTTAGGCGCCTAATTTAGGCCCTCCTTGGCTGGTGCTTGGACCCCAATCAACCTCCTCTTGGACTTGGACTTGGACCATGAAATGAGTGTAGCACTTAGCTAAATCCTCTCCATAATTTTTGAGCTCTTCTGCCACCATTAGCGCCTTCTTGATCTCCCATTGAAGCCCAACAACCTTGTCTTGCTTCTCCTTAGCTTGAGACCTTGTGAATGGCTTTCTTGGTGCTTCTACAGCTTTATCCTTGTCCATGAAGCTATCAGATACATTGAAATACAATGAGAAAAAAGACACTGAATACAATGAAATACATGGAATACAACGAGATACATTGAATTACAATGAAAAAAAAAGATAGTGCATACAATAAAATACAGCGAGATACATTGAAATGCTCTTAAAAAAAAGGTAACAGAATCTTCAAATTGCTCAACCCCAAACTTCAGACGACCTATTTTAGTCGACAATTTTTCGACGACCCATCGGATTCCGACCATGATTCCATAAGCAGCGATGAGAGAAAATTCCAAATTAATAAGGCCTACAGTCCACATGAACTCGGCAGAGTCGTATGCTTTCCGACCCGAACTCGAGTGAAGACCCACAAGTCCCGCCCCTTTCCACTGTAGTTGAAAGTTGAAACCCTAATCAGACGGAAAATCTTTAGAAGTCAGTCGTAGTGGTAGGGTAAATTGAGAGAAGGAAGATGCCTCCTCTGTCGTTGGACAAAATCGGCAAAGTTACCCTTCTCCAGGCTGTGTTCCTGCTTTAGAGTCCTTGTCGCTAGATCGGAAATTTTAATGGATGGGGGAAGAGAATGTGATGTATCAAAGTAGAGAGAGAAAGAAAATAGTGTAACTGATTATCGTATTTAGTGGCTTAGGGCTAGGAAGTAACCAAAATTAAATATTTTGCTATAAACCTTAAAATGTATCTATAGAATATAATTTTTTTAAATGATATTTATTTAAAATAAATAAGGTGTTAACCTTTGTTATAGGAGGTACAAATTCTTATATTTTATTACAAAAGATCATTGTTGAATTCAATGATAATTTATAACCGTGCTTCGCACGGAAAATTTCACATATATTAATATTAGACTAATTGAGGTAGGGGCTAGTCCTATTTATAGAAGCGGTAAGTTTTAGGAAAAGAAGTTAAACTACTGTAGAATTCTTTTCCTTGTATGACACTTTTCTTGACTAAACATAACATTTACATTATAATACTTTATTATATGATTAAAATAAAAAATTTCACGGAGTTCTATTTCTTCCTAACCCTACAAATTCATGGCCTCCATTGCTTCTGAGTCTCGCTCTTTGCCAAGCCACAATAGTGATGGATTATTTTCCCTGTTACCAGACGATATCGTCCACCAAATCCTCAGTTTTCTCACTCTGAGACAGAGAACAATAGCTTCTCTTGTTTCTAAAAAATGGCGTCACATGATGACATCATTGCAAATTTGTGAAAACACATTCTACAAATATATACTGTGAAAATTGCTATGGAAAGAACTGTAAAAACTGCTCTCACATCCGCCATGTTATCAAACTTGGTGGGGACAACAATTTCACGGAATTCTATTTGTTTTGCAGCGCTTTGTTCAAATTGTCCCCAGCTATTTTAGAGTCAAGATTATTAACCGTTCTGCATCTAGACTGCTGCACCCTTGACTTTGGTGATATTAAGGAGTTGCCTCTATTAAAAGAGATATATTTTGATCGCGTTCGGATCTCTCCCATAACTTTCTACATGCTTATCAACAATTGCCCTTCTATGGTTGAGTTGACGTTGAAAGATTGTCCTGACCTAGATTCCATCTTTGTGCCTCCTCATCTGAATGAACTTAAAAAGGTTCATGTGAAACGCCATTTAATTCATGCAATTGAAATAGGAGCTCGAAATCTACGGGAGTTTCACTTGTTGAGTTCATCATCATCATCATCATCACTAGAACTTGATTTGCGGGCATGTACTAAACTACAAGTCCTGAAAATTGATTGTGAGTTCATGCCCGCCGGAATTCCTGAGGTGATTTCCTTGGCATTTCCGCATCTTAAATCCTTGTTTCTTCGTTTATGTAGAAGATTGAACAAAATCAAACTTTTGAGTCCTGAATTGGAGAATTTGACCTTAAGTCACATGATTGACCTTCGCGATGCTACCATTTTTACTCCCAATTTACGTTCCTTCAAGCTAATAGATATAAAAAAACAAAGTCCCAAGCTGGTCTCCAGTGGTAATTGGTTCAAGGCTAACGGAAGTTGAGATTGGGTTGAAGTATGTTTATGCAACCAATAGGTTGCCTGACTTGAGAACTTTTGCTGAAAATTTGGGTGAAAATTTGACCTTCTCCTTGGAAACTAAGGCAACTGAATCAAAGGTATTTTTATGTTAATGACCTTCTCCTTGGAATTATGTTGCATTATTTGAGTGATTCAAAATTTAATGAGCTTATTCTTGAAAAGATACAACATTTTCTGAAAAGATGTATCCAATCTTACAACATGTACATCACATTATCTGAAGATATGTATTGAATCTGTGTAGAATGGCACAACTCATGCCCAAGGAATCATAAGTTAGAGTACTTTCCATAACTCCATCCTTTGAGTCTTTATCATTTCAATCTCCTCCAAAGTCTCTTTCTTATTCACTCTAAATTCATGCAAAGAGTTCCTTAAAATTTCTATTGAGTGCACATGTTAGAAGATTCATGAGTTGTTTGTGTATGTTTGGAGACGGCTCAACAAATTTGGGGGCCTAAAGCACAAACGTCTACGAGAGGCCTCGAGTTCTTTTTAGGGATATTTATACAACTAGTCGGTCATAATCACTGTCTACTTTTCCTAACCGGTATATGTAAAGTATATGCTGGTTATATGCATTTATATGTATTATACATGGATTATACATCGACAGGCTATTTAAGTTAGTTTTTCCTTTTTTTGAAAAGCAAATCTTTTACTCTTATTAAAAGTTAATTCTCTATCTTTTTGAGATGCAAGGTTATTAAAAAAGTATAATCGACTTTTTCAAATAATATTTTTTCAATCTTGATAATATATCTAACTTATTTAATCTCTCTAGATACATTGTTGATCTAGGTAAGAATATAATAATTTTAATCTTAAAATATGTTTTTTCTACTGAAGCAATTACCGGAACTGTTAACATTATTTTATAAGCAATATATGTAGTTATTTAAAAAAGAAACCATCTTTTTTTTCAAGATAAAATAATGTATCTTTTAAGAAATATTGACATATACAAATACTAAGTATTAAGAAATTTGGGGTCCTATAATTGTGAGGTCTATAGTAGTTGCTTGAGCTACTTTACCCATAAGCCGCCCCTGGTTAAGAGTACGATGTCACTTTGCTATGTAGAAATTTACATTGGAAGACAACACTTTTCATTGCGTGCCCTTGAAATGCTTTTCACATCTGAAACTTTATCTCTTCTTTTATTTTTAATTATTGTATGTTGTGTGTCGTTAGGTGTTCTTCTAATTAGTACTTTTATCTTTATTATTTTTTCAATAATTTCGTATTAAATAATTTTCCATTCAATCTTTGTCTAATTTTGACAACTTGTGTTGGATATATTATTTCTTATGTAGGATGTAAAATTTCATTCGAGCAATCATTGGAGCTTTATTCAACCACTTTATATCAAGCATATAAATTTGGTAATATATTATTCATGGGATCCACCGAGATATGGACATTTTATTGATGAATTATTTGGTTACTTCTATCCGCGGACCTTGATGGTGAGAGTAAATTCAGATGCCCTAAAGTATAACTTTATACAGGTAATTTCCAATGTTATGACTTCATTCTTCACCTTAATGTTTTTCTAATCTCTTTCTCCAACTTTCCATTGTACTTTAAATGTTACCAATTTTTGTAGGTCCTATTAGATGAGCTGAAAGGTCAGAAAAGGGAATGCAGCAAGCACTATAAATGTAGTAACAACACGAGTTGGCGTAATTTCTTGAACGGTTTTAAGATCCTCAAATCAACAACAAGACAACCTGCTAATCAAATTCGCTTGAAGTTCCAATGGTAATTGCCTCATAACACACTTCTTATTTTTTTGGTTTAAGAACGCAATTGATACCAATGTTTACAATATATAGCTTAGCAATTTTTTCATAATAATTAATACCCTAGAAGTTGGCCATATTTTTCTTAAAGCTGGGTTACTATAAAAGCACTATTGTTCAAAGCGTAATGGCGATCCAAGACTCAACTACCTCCTAACCTACAACCCTAATACTCGACCTCCACATCTTACACTTGATAGGAAGATGTGGAGGTCGAGTATTAGGGCTGTAGGTTAGGAGGTAGTTGAGTCTTGCCTTACTTTGTACCTTTGTGAGACTAGTCTGGTAGGGTTTTTGTCTAAGATAGCTAGTGACAATGTTGTGTCTTACTATTTCGCTTTTCAGTGTGGGACCTATTTTACTAGCTATCGCTTTTGCTTTGCCATCTTTCTTCTGGATTTCATGTTCATATTTTTCCTATGATTTCTGTGGTGATATTAATATTGTCTTCTTTTGTTTGTTTTCTTGAACCGAGGGTCTTTCGAAAACAGCCTCTCTACTCCTTAGGGGTAGGGGTAAGGTCTGCGCATACACTACCCTCCCCAGACCCCACTAGTGGGATTTTACTGGGTTGTTGTTGTTGTATGCCCTTTCAAAGTAAAAATATTTTGGATACAATTGTATATTTGGTTCTACTGCCATACTAGCTAGCTAATCCCACTTGGGCAATTACAATGGACAAAATAATGAATTTGCATGGGCTTCCAATTTCAAATCTTTCTATTGTTCAACGAGAACACTATTACACAAATATTCTATCTACTTTTGGAATTCCTAGAATGTTTTCCCATATTTTGTTTTCTGCTGTAATTTTTTGCTTATTTATTCTGGGTCATTACCTACAGCAAAAATTATAGTGCTATACATCACGTAACTGCTTGGTGAAGGAATTGGACTTTTGCTGCTAAGTTGTTAAACATATCAAGTTGGTCTTTCTGGATACTGGTTTCTGTTTAGAGGCGGATCCAAGATTTATATTTAATGAGTTAAACTTTTAAGATTCTCAACATTGAACTTATTGTACTGTTAAAATCATCGATTAAGACCTAATATTTGTTGAGATTTTAGTAGGTTTTTATATATTTAACTATACTGTATGTCAAATTATGTCTTCAAATGGACCTGTAGCCAAAGACTACATCCGCATTGTTTCTGATAGAACTAAAATAGGGTTTTTGAAGACTTATTTTTTCATATTAACCTTCTTATGTATACTTAGAAAGCCTCTTCATGCTTTATTTTTCAGGCACCTCCATTAGTTGTGGGCTATTACGATTTGAGCTACTATGCTGGAGAGTACTTTGGTAGCCGCAAACATTATTAAGTGGTTATTCTGAATGTGTGATCTTATCTCGCAGCTTTATGTGGCGGAAAGAATAATTTTTACATATCAAAACCTGATAACATACTGCAAAAACCTTGTTACTCCTACATTCACACTAGACCAAAAGCTTTATTTGAACAATTTATTGGCTGATTGTTTTTTTTGACTTTGTGATTAATTTCGTAGTCTTCTAGTTGTGTTTTCACATCACATTAATCAGGTACTGGATCTTTTGTTTCCCCTGGAAGATTTTCTTGATTCATCAGCCCTGAGCATTTTAAGTCTCTATGTTTAATAATATCTTCTTTTTTGGAGCCAGTGATCTCCTTGTCCTCTGTTTTTGCTCCACCAAATCTGATAGTCGTTTACAAAGTGGATCATTGTTTGGGCTACATCTCTAAGGGAGATTCTATTGACCAACAGAGCAAACAAAAATGATACTTCATATTGCATTCTCGGTTCTGATTAATAGGAAACATTTGATTTAAAGAGTAAGGGAGAACTCAAATGCCAGCATAGAAATAGAAAAAGTAGTGCATCAAAATGGAATTCTTCTAAGATCCATTGCTCGATTTTGCTGCATGCTTTCCCAAAATGCAGAGAGATTATCTCACGGTTTATTCTTTGCATCTTTTCTTGATAAATGTAAGAGTTCTTTCGTATGATCTATTCTTTTATAATGAAAAACGAAACGCAGAATGTAGCCTTGACAGACTTAATTTCAAGTTTGGAATGATCAACCACTTCTTCTTCCCGCTATTGACCAATTTACTGAAGAAGTTCAATAGTGGAACAAGTCCACTTTTGGAAACATTTTTAAACGTAAGCGTAAACTGTTAGCTCGCTTAGGAGGGATCCAATCATCAATGAATTATCCCACAAGCTTGTTCCTACAAAATTTGGAACATGAATTAATCAATGAATTCAAACAAATACTAAGGCAAGAGGAAGAATTTTGGAAATTAAAATCGAGAATTAATTGGTTAAATGATGGCGATGCCAACACACGCTTTTTTCATCTATCAACCCTTAATAGAAGAAGACATAATCGAATAACTGCTTTACAGGATGATGGGGGTAATTGGATTACTGATCAAGCTCTTATCAAAGTCAACATTACTAACTATTACCATACACTCTTCACTACACATTCCACCATTTCCTACAGACACCATTCAATTCAACCGTATAATCTCGTAACTGAGGTAGAAAAACAACAATTAGCTCTACCACTTCAGGATCATGAAATTATTAGTGCTTTCAACTCTTTCAAGCCTCTTAAAGCACCAGGCCCTGATGGCCTACATCCCTATTTTTACCAAAAATATTGGAATACGGTTGAAAGCTCTGTTAAATCCTTTTGCCATACAATTTTTAATAATCATCACATAAATCCCTCTATCGACAAAACTCTCATTTGCTTAATTCCAAAAAATAAAACAGCGTCTACAATTTCTCAATTTAGACCTATAAGCCTTTGTAACACAATCTACAAAGTTATTACTAAAATTATCTCTAACAGGCTAAAACCAATTTTCCAGCACATTGTTCATCCCACTCAATCTAGCTTCCAAAAGAATCGTCGTGCTACCGACAACGCCATCATTGTCCAGGAATTAATGTCTCGTTTCCAAAAAATGAAAGGAAAAACATCTTACATGCTACTCAAACTTGATCTTGAGAAAGCCTTTGACCAACTAGAATGGTCATTTATTCACTATACACTAGTTATCCTTAACTTCCCACCAAATTTCATTAATTCATCATGTCTTGTGTTACAACAACTTCGACATCAATCCTTATTAATGGCAATCCAACGGATTATTTTAATCCAACAAGGGGCATTCGTCAAGGAGATCCTCTATCGCCATATCTCTTCATACTATGCCTTGAAATGCTATCTCGCCAAATCAACACGGCAGTAGATCATCGTGCTTGGCAACCAATTCCTATATCTCCAAAAGGACCTTCACTATCACACTTATTTTTTGCGGATGATATTATCTTAGCGGCAAAAATAAGTCCATCTACTTGTGACTCCATCATCAACACTATATAGAAATTCACAACCTATTCGGTCCAAACGCTAAACTTTCAAAAATCAAAAATATTTTTCTCAAAATCATGCCCTTTAAATGTAAGAACTTCTGTTTTAGAGCTATTCCATATGAAAGAGGGAAAATAATTTGGTAGATACTTGGGCTTTCCCATCTTCATTAAAAAACCAACAACAAATGATTTCCAATTTCTACTAGATAATTTCAAAAACAAATTAGCTGGATGGAAAATAAAATTCTTAACAAGGGTTGGTCGCACTACTCTTATCCGCTCAACCCTCAACCAACTAACCAACCACATCATGCAGTATATCACAATCCCTAGCAATATCCTATCTCTTTTAAATAGATACCAAAGAAATTTTCTTTGGGGTACAACTCAGCAAAAGAAAAAACTTCACCTCCTTAAGTGGGACAGTGTTGCTCAACCACTTGACCAAGGTGGCTTGGGCATACAAAAACTATCCACGAAAAATAAAGTGTTACATGCAAGTCTTGCATGGCGACTATTCCAAAACCACAACAACTTTGGTCACAAGTTCTAATAAATACTTACATCCGCCCTCATAAGACGCCAAAACGTTTCCCTACTTTCATATGGAAAAATCTCATAAATGGCTGGTCACTGCCGTTTGGGTTATAATTGGAACATCACAAACGGCAAACATATCAAATTTTGGACAGACCCATGGCTTACTCATAATTTTACACTAATTTCCTACCTACATGGTCCTTTCCCACCCAATGAACAACACAAAAGGGTATCTGATTATTATTTGAAAATAAGTGGCACTTTGACAAACTTCCACTTGCTCTTCCAACTGAGTTAAAAAATACCATCTACAATATTTATATGCCACATCACCACCTCAATTATGATCAGATCTACTAGGATCTAACAAATGATGGTATCTTCTCTGTTAAATCCAGCTACAAATCACTAGATCCAATTGAAAGTACTCAATACTCTTACAAATGGATTTGGAAGCACAAAATTTCATCTAAAATATCTTTTTTCCTATGGCTCCTTTCACACAACCGACTACCTACTGCTATATACCTATCCAAATTAGGTATCATCACTTCCAATATTTGTAAGCAATGCCAAATGGATCCAGAAAAAATTCCACATATCTTCCTCAAATGTCCAAAAGTAACCCAACTATGGGCACATTTAAACATAATCCCTCCAACTCCTTCCTATACGCCTCCTACAGGAACATCATCAAATCTTTCTCATAATTCACAATGGTTATATAACCTCGTACATATGCCTTCACAATCAATTTCATATAACATCCCAAATACCATCTTCATTTCCTTCGCACTATGGCATATATGGAATGTTCGTAATAAAAACACATTGGATACTCAAAATATGAACATTAATCTTCATTTGATTCAAACTACGGCTGCTGAATACTTTTTCTTAATCCCACATAATAGCTTAAAGATACAAACCATACCTCATAATATCAAATGGCATCCCCCATCACCACCTTACTATAAACTAAACATCGATAGTGCACCTTCCCCTGCTCAAAATAGCTATGGAATAGGAGGTGTTTTTCGCAACACACAGGGACACTGGGTCATGGGCTTCGCAGGAGGATCACCTCCAGCAACTGCCATCCAAACAGAATTACTAGCATTACTCATGGGGTTGCAGCTTGCTGTGCGATACGAATACACACCACTTATCATTGAAACAGATGCTCACGACATCTTGAGTATGTTAAATACATCTAACATGCATCACACTAACATTTTAAATGACTGCAGGTTATTGCTTCAACAGTTGGGTAGGCCTTCTCTACAACATATCTACAAGGAGCAAAATAGTGTTGCAGATAGTCTGGCTCAATATGGGGCCAAGCAAGCAATTACCAATAGTTGCATTTCTTTTGTCACACCACCACCTTTTGTCGCAACTTTCTACAATTAAGATATAGTGGGAACAATGCAGGAGACTTGTTAACATGAACAAACAACTTAACCCTACTTTGTCTCCCATTTGTAATACTCATATTTTGCGTAGTAATGCACCCCATGTAGGGGCACTTGTTGTAGCTTCTAATAGTACTAGCTCTAGTTTACAAACTAACATGCCTGTAAGGCATCTAGCTCCCTGTACTAATGTAAGGTTTTAATATTTTAATATAAGTCTTTCTTTCCGACAAAAAAAAAAAAGACTTAATTTAAAAAAAAAGGTTATTGTCGACGATGTAAGAATTCACATTTTCTTTATTAGATGATGGTAATGATACTATATAGGTGCTCTCAAAATAACAGCCGAAAAAAAAAATATTTTTTGTATATATATATATATATATATATATATATATGTATATATTTGTAGAATTTTTTGTATATATATATATATATATAATATATATATATATATATATATATAATAATATATATACTATATATATATATAATATATATATATATATATATATATATATATTATATATATATATATATATATACAAAAATTAACAAATTTTATACAATTTTTCGGCTACCGAATGTAAATAGTTTTTGGTGCGGCTAAAAGTAATAATACCCCTTCTTTATTGCCGGTTTGCAAAGAGAGTGGGGATGGCGGCAAATTTTTTTAAGAAACCTGAAAAATCTCCAATAGTTATGACTAGGAGTGTCAATGGATCTTCAAAAACCTACGAAATCGGTCGAACCAAACCGTACCGAACCGATTATTAGATTTATTTAATAAAACCGTAGATTTTTATATAAACTTATAACCGTACCGAATATTAGGGTAGGTTTTAAATTTTATAAAAATAAACCGAAAAAACCCGAACCGTACCGAATAACATTATATATGAAAAATATATTTTATATACTAAGTTTAAAAAAAACAAAACATTATTATTTTTTCTGGTCTTAGGATTATGGTAATGGCTACAAGTGACCAAATAATTAATATCCAAAGTCTCAACTTCCGCACACATTTTGCTACTCATATCGAAACTTAATTAGTTCTAACATCTTAAGTACCAAGCCACTGGGTATTTCAACGATCTTCAGTAGCAAGACACAAGGTATTAGATATCTTTCTACTCGTATGATTTAGATATCTCTTGTTGGATACTACTCTTTTAATAAGCTCTATTCTTGAGTCCAAATTGATTAGTATCTTTCCACTTGTATGATTTATATCTCTCTTGTCTTTGCTTATTTTGTTTTACGCTACCATAGAATAGTACGATGAATTTTTATGTTGGACGTCTTTCATGTTCCTTATCATCACTTTGAAAATAGTAAAAATGACTAGAAAGTTTTGTCAAAGTCCTATGTAAGTACATATTTATCGCATTCTAACTTCGCATAGCGACTCTTGTATGACGTTGTTTCATAAAAAATACCAAAAAATTAACCGAACCGTACCGACACTGATGAGAAACCGAGATGATTGTGACGGTTCCGAAAAGTCTAATTTTGGTTATACAAAATGGAATAACTCAAAAATTGGTATGATACAAATTTTATAAAATAACCGACCGAACCGAACCATTAACACTCACAGTTATGACCTAAGTAAAATTAAACAATTATGGCCTTATAATGGATATTTAAGAGGTAGGAATTAATAGGAATTTTTGTGGAAAGCCATCTATGCATTTTGCACTTTCAGTTTATACAAATTATTAAACTCGGGTTAAAATCTTTGATGACCTATCAACAGTTAACCAGTTTTCTATGAATGATTCTTCAATTTTATTGCAAGCACTCGAAGGGAGAGGAGGCGCTAGAGTAAAAATAGGTCATGTAGTAAGAAGAAAGGGTTCCAACTTTCAGTAACAGAAATCCAAGTTACAATAAAATTTCTTTTCTTTTTTCTAGGAAACTTTGCTTTACTAAACCTTATATAACCACATAAGGAATGGAGTAATAATAGCTTTTAGTAATAAAACTTTTGCTTTCACAAAGTTTACCACACAAAATTCATGGCCTCCAATATTGCTTCGGATTCCGTCTCGGCGTTACCAGATGACATACTCCACCGCATAATCCTTTATCCTCTAACTCTGAAACAAAGAGCAATAGCATCTCTTGTTTCCAGATTATTAACTGTCCTGTATTTAAAAGGTTACATATTTGAGGAGAAAAACTTTGAGGAATTTCCTTCATTGAAAGAGATATATTATTTTGATTACGTTTCTATCTCTCCTACAAATTTGTCCAAGTTTATCAGCGGGTGCCCTTCTATTGTTGAGTTAACTTTGAAAGATTGTTACAATGACAAATATTGTCTATCTCCCATCTCACTGCCGGATCGGATATGAATGAACTTAAAAAAGTTCATGTGAGTGGTACTGACATTGAGTCAATCGAAATAAAAGCTCGAAATATGCTGGAGTTTCACTTGTTTAGTTCATCACATCAGCACTGAAACTTGATTTAAACTCTTGTAGTAAGCTACGGGTCCTGAAGATAGATTGTGAATACATTCCCATCGGATTTCCTAAAGAGATTTCCTCAGCATTCCCGTGTCTTAAATCCTTATTTCTTCGTTTATGCAAAAGATTGAATACAATCAAGCTTTTGAGTCCTGAACTGGAGAATTTGAACTTAAGTGACATGGTTGACTTGGATGATGCTATCATTGTTAATGCATGTTCATGCAATCAATAGGTTGCTTCAGTTGAGAAATTTTGCTGAAAATTTGGGTGAAAATTTGACCTTCTCTTTGACAACTAATGCAACTGAATCAAAGGTATGGACATGGCTAAATGATAAACCGATTGCTAAACTAAATATTCAATTTCCTTTTAAGTTTGACAATTCTTGTTGAATATAATTTGCGGCTGTCTATGAAGGAGGTGAGATTTGATTCGCGCAATCACGGAAGCAACATTCAACCACTTCGTATCATGCATATAAATTTGAAGATACTCTTTTCACGGGTACCAAGATATGAAACTCTAATTGATGAATTGTTTAGTTACTTTCATCCGCAGACCTTGCTAGTGGGAGTAAGTTCAGAGGCCGACAGCAAATATAACTTTATACATGTATGTTTTAGTGTTATGAATTCATTCTTCACCTTAATATTTTCCTATTTGTACTTCTTCTTTTTCCCCCAATTTTCACCAATGTATGTATGAACTTGAAATAGGTCCTATTGGATGAACTGGAAAGACCGGGAAAGGGGATGCCACAAGTGTTGTAAATGTTGTAACATGTGTTGGCGCTATTGCTTGAAAGGCTTTAAGATCCTCGAATCAACTACAATTACAAGACAAGGCGCTGAATTAAATTAGCTTGGAGTTCCAATGGTAGATGCTTCATAAGAGCAGGGGCGGAGCTAGAGTGTCGGGAGGGGTTCGGCGGAATACAGTAGCTTTGGTTCAAACACTGTATTTGTCTTAAAGTTTTGTTGTATAATGTATAAATTATTAATTAGAACCCAATAACTTCAAATGATTAGAATCTGAACCCATAAACTTAAAATCTTGGCTCCGCCGCTGCATAAGAGTAGTTTTATGTGTCTACTCAAATACATACATTGGTGGAACATAGCATATTTGTAACGATTGTTAAAGAAAAAGAAAGAATTTAAAGAAAAATATCCGATCTCATTCCATTGACACCTGCAAATGAGCAGAGAATGTCCCTTTTTAAGAAGGACAGTGACAACTATTAAAATAACAAACTAATTGAGGAGACAACACGTGTCCCTCTTCTAGAACTTTTCCTAAGCTTCCTTCCTAAGGGCTAAAATGAAAATAATTAAACTTATGGGTTTAAAGAACCCACTCATTCTATTTACAAAAGGTCCGCTATTAACAAATAGCATAAGTCTTCTTCTTCATAGTGATGATCTCAGGTCGTCACATTCCATTCTCCTTCAGCAAGAACCATGAGTGATTCAAGGTTCATCAAAATTCGAAAATTGAGATTTTAAGAAAGAGTATTCTTCCCATGTTGCCTCTTCTGGTGATAAATTTTCCCATTGAACCAGTACTTGAGTTGAGGCTCTATTCCCTTTTTTTACCATCTTTCGATCAAGAATGCCTATTGGTTCTACAAGCATTTGGCCCTCCTGGTTGCACAAAGGTAGGTTTTGTGCTGCAAAATTCTGATTGGCAATGGTTTTCTTCAGTTGAGATACATGAAAAACTGGGTGAATGCGAGAACTCGAAGGCAGCTTGGGTTTGTACGCCACTGGTCCGACCTTCTGAATAACCTCATAGGGGCCAAAGAACTTAGCTGATAATATCAAATTTCTTCTTACCGCTATTGACACTTGCCTGTGAGGTTGCAATTTGAGAAACACCCAATCCCCAATTTCAAATTTCCTGTCAATCCTGTGTCTGTCTGCATTTTGCTTCATTCTGACCTGAGCTTTTTCGAGGTTGTCCTTAAGGATTTGAGCCATTACCTGTCTGTTCCTAATGATTTGGTCTGCCGGGCTCAATGTAGATTGTGCAATTAGCTCAAAGGTGGGTTGTGGAGGCTCATATCCATATAAGGCTTTAAAGGGAGTCATTCCAATTGCTGATTGGAAGTTAGAATTATACCAAAATTCTGCTAAGGCCACCCACTTGCTCCATTCTGAGGGACGGTGACCCGTCATGCATCTGAGGTATGTTTCCAAGCAACGATTCAATCTTTCAGATTGCCCATCGATTTGTGGATGGTATGCCGAGCTCATTCGCAATTACACCCCAACCCTTTGAACAGGTATTTCCATAGTGTGCTTACGAAAATGGGATCCCTATCTGACATAATCAAACTAGGTAATCCACGTAACTTGCAAATGTTATCTAAAAAGACTTGCGCAATCTGACTAGCTGAATATGGTGTGTGAGTGTGAAGAAATGGGCATATTTGGTGTAGCGATCGATCACCACCAAAATGGAGTCTTTACCCAACGACTTTGGTAACCCATCAATAAACTCCATAGCCACATGCTCCCAGGCCCTAGACAGAATAGACATTGGTTGCAAGAGGCCCGGATATGCAACATTTCCCTCTTTGTTGCGTTGACAAACTTCGCAACTCTGGACTTGTGTTTTTACTTCACTAGGCAAGTTAGGCTAGTAAAATAAAGCCTTCAACCTTTGCAATGTAGCCAACACTCCTGAGTGTCCTCCCCATGGTGTAACATGCATATCATTGATTAGCCTTGATCTTATGTTGCCCTTTTCTCCGACCCAAACTCTGCCACGATACCTGAGGATGCCCTGTTATAATGAAATGTTAGGTACTGCATTTGGGCCCAACGAGAGATTAGTGAGCAATTCTTGAATCTTTTGGTCATTCTCATAGCTTTCTACCACTTCAGACACCCACTTTGGCTGAGCTATGGACAATCCTAAGCATTCTTCTTCCTCCTCTGTTTCAAACCTTCTTGACAGAGCATCTGCTGCCAAATTTTCAGCTCCTTTCTTGTATTGAATGTCATAGTGCAAGCCCAACAACTTGGTGATGCCTTTTTGTTGTAAGGATGTAGTGATTCTTTCTCAAAAACTTGAGAGAAAAATGATCTGTTTTGATCACAAAGGGTCTTGGCTGGAGATAATGATGCCACTTCTCAACTACCATCAACAGTGCAATAAGCTCCTTTTCGTAAGTTGAAAGCCCAAGGTGTTTAGGACTTAAGGCTTGACTGAGATAGGCTATGGGTCTGCCTCCTTGGGTGAAACTGCCCCTACTCCTTTGCCACTGGCATCCACTTCTACTACGAAAGTAGTAGTAAAATTTGGTAAAGAAAGCATAGGGCCTGACTCATCGCTTGTTTCAGTTCACCAAAGGCAGTAGTGGCTGCCTCATTCCATTAAAAATTTCCTTTTTTGAGAAGAGTTGTAAGCGGCTCATTGATGGTAGCAAAATTGCGTATAAACCGCCTGTAGTACCCCGTCAGTCCATGGAACCCTCTAAGTTCTTTAATTGTCTTGGGTTATGGCCACCCAATCATAGCTTCCACCTTTGCTTTGTCTGTGCTTACCCCTTCTCCTGAAATGATGTGGCCCAAATACTCTACTTGAGTTTGTGCAAGTGAACACTTTGACCTATTAGCCACCAGCTGATTTTCTCGAAGCACCCTAGACACAAGTTCCAGATGTTTGAGATGATCTTGTAGTGTTGCACTATAAATTAAAATGTCATAAAAAACATCAAGACAAACTGTCTGAGATAAGGCCTGAAAATATTGTGCATTAAGGCTTGAAAAGTGGCCGGTGCGTTAGTTAACCCAAAAGGCATAACTCTAAATTCCCATAACCCATGATGAGTTTTTAAAGCCGTCTTGTGCTCCTCACCCTCCTTCATTCTGATTTGGTGATATCCTGAACGAAGGTCCAATTTGGAGAATAATTTTGCGCCATTAAGCTCATCCAGTAAATCTTCTACCACCGGAGTTGGGTATTTATTCTTCACTGTTGCTTCATTTAATTTTCTGTAATCCACACACATTCGCCAACTTGAATCCTTTTTCTTTACCAAAATGACTGGAGAGGCAAAGGGGGATATACCGGGAGATACCGTCTGGGCATCAAGCATTTCAGCCACTATTTTTTCAATGGTATTTTTCTGTTCAAATGAGTACCTATAGGGCCTGAGATTTACTGGCTTGGCCCCAGGTAGTAGCTCGATCTGATGGTCGCAGCTGCGATGTCGTGGTAACCCTCGTGGCTCGTAAAAAATGTCTTTATTTTTGGTCAATAAGTACTGGACTTCTTCATGAATGGTCTCCTTGTTATGGGCTAGATCTTCCTGGCTTAACTCGAAGAGTTGGCCCAAGCAACTACATTGTCCAGTAAGCAACGACCTGTCTATTGTTTTAGAATCAGCTATGGACAGGGCTTGCGACTCTTGATCCCCTAGTAACGTTAGTCTTTTGTCTCCTTTAATGAAGGTGATGCTCAAGGGACGAGTATGTAGTAAAATTGGGGCAATGGTGTTGAGCCAGTCCATTCCTAACACCATATCACAACCTCCTACTTTCAACAACCCCACTTGAAAGACAAACTCTTCTTTCCCCATTTTCCACTTAAAATTTGGACTAAATTCGTGATAGTCCAGAATGTGACCGCTAGCAACCTTCACCTTCATGGGCTTCTGAAGCCACTGGACCTGGGCCTTCAAGTTTTTGACCACTTGTGGATCCACTTAACTGTGGGTGGACCCACTATTCAATTAAAATTATCACCATACAATTCTTTACCCAACCCTGTATTTTGATTGTTTTAGCATTAGATCCCAGGCCCAATACTGCATTAATTGAAACTTCACCCTCTTCTTGGTCTTGAGATTCCGATTCTTCCCCTATCCCTCCTGTTTCTTCCACCATTACTTCTTCTACACCCTCCTCCCCTGCCAAGGTATTTAATGCGTTGGCCTTACATTGGTGGTCTAGGTGATATTTCTCATGGCAAGTAAAACAGATGTTTTGGGCCCTCATTGTCTCATAGGAAAGGTTTTTGGAAGTAGTGGCTCGGTTAACAAAAGGTGTTTGGGCTTTTGTTGGCTGTGTGGAATGGGAATTTCTTTGGGTCATGAAATTGGGTGTTTAACCGGTGGAATTAAACCTTTGGTTAGTCTGATTACTCTTGAGAGCACTTTTTGCTGCGAACTTTTTGTACATGGCTTCCGCCTTTCTTTCATGAATTTTTGCAAGGTCATATGCAACCACTAAGCTACGGGGATTAGCCAGTGATACATTATCTTGAATATCCAATGTAAGGCCACTAATGAAACACTCAACAAAATATGCCTCGTCTAAATTTGGATTGGTAACCCCCATCAAGCACCTTAATTCTTCGAACTTCTTCTGATAACTTTCAACGTTGGCCACTTGTTGCACTTGTTTAAACTCCTTGATAATTTGTGTTGGCCTAATATTGCCATAGCATATGCATACACCTAAGCAAAATATAGGCCAAGTCACCCTTCCTCTTTTGTCAAACACATAATTATCAAACCACATATCAATTTCATCCTTCAAATTCATGGAGACATATGTCATTTTCTCCTCCTCGTCCACTCCATAAAGGTCAAAAAATCTGTTGCATCTTCTAATCCATGCCTTTGAATTTTTTCTATCAAACTCAAGAAATGGCATTTTAGCTTTGGGCTCTTTATAGCGAGATCTGGAAGTATCCAGCCCATTAAATGCTTGCAAGTTGCCCCCAAATGGTTGGGGATGGAACGACCCCAAAGAAACTGAGAAAGCTGAAGCCCAAAATCTTGCTGACAACATCGGCTGGTAAGAAAGGGACGGGGTATACGAGTAAGGCATAGTGGAGGTGTATGAGTAAGGCATCGTGGTGTTAATAGGGGACTGACACGGGTGGAAAAGAGGGAAGGGAATACGGAATATGAGATGTGAAGTTGAAGAAAGAGGGTGGTGGTGGTAGGCTCAAGGGAGAGGAGGTTAAGTAAAACGTTTGCACTAGTGGTCTGTAGGAGTGGGCTGCCAAATTTAATGGTTGTGTGGTGGTTGAGGTGGTATCTGAAAATGGTGGAAGTTGAAAGGGTACCCAGAGGTAAGGTTGACAGAGATGGGGAGACGAAGGGAGTGGTATTCCTCAGATTACCTCATATTGATGAATAGCTCGAGTCACGAACAAAGCTACCCTGAGAAATGGCCACTGTGGACCCCAACGTCGGAGAAACAACTGCTCTTCGATTGGCGTCCATCTGTATAAGCAAATTGTAATATCCCATGATTTTTAACCAAGGATATATTAGTCATTTAGTAATTAATCAAAAAAAAGAGATGCACAAAAAGAAAGAAAATTTAACCAAATCTAACAAAAAGAACTAACAAAACAAACAAAACAAAAAGAAGTATGTAAATGGGCCTTACCCATCAGCAACGTGAGGGCATAGGAGAAAAATTAAAAGAAAAAGAAATAAAAGGGCTAAAGGGATTTTGGGAAAAAAGGGACGTAGTGAAACAGAAGCTTCAATTAGAATAGAATTGAGATTTAAGAACAAAAAAAAATTAAAGAAGGCTCATCCAGGTAAGAGGCAAAGAAAGCAAAGAAGGGATTTCGTTGTCTCAGATTCAACAGGGCATAAGAATTAGAAAGGAGCGCTGGTTTAGTCCTTGTTCCGCAGAACTCCTACCCTACTGGGAAAGTAAATTTACACTCTTGAGTCTCAGCGATAAGCTCCAGGTAATTACATATATTTTCCTCCTTTTGAAATAGTAGAAATTTTATATACATGATTCTTATAGGACTAAGTAGATATGATTTTTAAATTGGATTAAGAGTTTAAAAGATAAAGTTTAGAAAATTTGGGAAAAACTCATGAGACTTTTCCATGAATTAACTGGGTATATTATATGAATTGGTTGTATTTAATATATTTTGAATTGGTTTAAGTTAACTGTAGAAGTGACTTGGGATACTGAAATGGGTCATGATATTTCGAGCGGAATAAGAGGGATTAGTTAGGTTATTATAATCGGTGAATTAGGAGTCAAATATCAAACCTCGAGGGTTGGACATTCTAAATTAGCTATGAATTAGCCTAAACATGGAAATTAACATGAGATCGATATTATGTAATTATAGATTGATTGGAGGAATTTGTGCGAACGGCTCGAGGTGAAGCATTTGGCATTTCGGTACGAGTACTGTGAGTAGTAATCTTACCACAATTTGTTTTTTTATAACCTGCATGATTTATATATGATTTTGAAAATAAATATATTACCGATGCTTTGAAATTGCATGTGGGACAAGTTCTTTACTTGATATGATACCGAACAGTTTACTTGAGATGTTTACCGATTAATCTAAATGTTCTCACCATTACTAGATATGTTTTACCGTTACTTGAGATGTTACAGTTATTTGAAGTATTCTCACTGTTACTAGATATGTTTTACTGTTACTTGAGACATGATTACTGTTACCGAAATAAATTACAAGATTTGATAAGGAATGATATGCCCTTTATTATTTTAAAAATGCTTTTGTACGAGTATTTACTATTTACAAGAAAGAGTATAAATGGGAGGAGACTTTGAAGGATCCCGTAGCTAACAGCGGGTTCGTTAGACCTGGTGCACCTTGTATTTGCAGATTATCGATTACAGTTATAGCCCTCGCTAGTGGGAAGGCAGAATTAGCATACAGTTACAGTTTTCCCTCGACTAGGGACCTACAGTTTTATTTGACTCATTTTACGAAGGGGTCCATACAGTGATACAGATTACATGATCCTTCCTTAGAAACCTCCCAAACAAAAAGATTTGATATGACACAGTGCTTACCGAGTCTATTACTGAATTGTTAAATTAATTTCTATTACAGGAAACACATGATGAGACTGATTATTATTACTGTTTTTTTTGAAAGGGCATTTTAATTTTATGATACTTCCTAATTATTATTATACATGCATGTTTTCTGACTTGTCCCCAATTAAAAAAGGTTGTGGTTAAGTGTTATTACTCACTGAGCTAGCGACTCACTCCCCGCTATTTTTTTCCAGAGACAACAGTTGAAGGGCGAGGATTTCATTAGTCAGACGCACAAGTTGATAGTTTCTGGTGAGCCCCGCATTTGTTCGCGTGGGCGGAGATTTTATTTATTGTTATTGTCTTTTCGTTGAACTCTTAGAGTCGCTCCATAGTCAAATTTTTTAGTGTCTTGAGTATTCTTCGTTATTATAGATTTATGTTGAGTATCGCTCATTCTTATCAAATTTGGAGATAAAGTAGTATTTCTAGTTATTGGTGGGTGGACTATTAAAGGTAGATATTTATTTTGGTTAATTGATAAGGTCATTGTCATTTGAATTGCTATTAGGATGTTTGATTGATGATTTGAGACAGGAAATTTTTTTGAAAAACTCCAAAAACAGGGGAAACTCTGTCCGATTTTTTGTAAAATACCGATGAGGCTTACTTGGGGGCACTTGCTCCTAGGTGCCGGTCATGATCCTAAATTGGGTCGTGATACAAATGTTCGATCCTTTTACTCGAATCGGAAAGCTCCATCACTGTTGTTTCAAGGAACCCTTGCCTTTCCTCCATCTGGGTCATACGAAGCTCAGCTTCCTCCACTGTTGCCGGAGGAGGAAGTACGACCGGCGTCCGACTGCCACCCACCGTATTTTTATTTTTATCTACCATCAATAATTGTGCCAAGAACAAGGCTCTGAATACCAATTGTAACGATTGTTAAAGAAAAAGAAAGAATTTAAAGGAAAATATCTGATTTCATTCCATTGACACCTGCAAATGAGCAGAGAATGTCCCTTTTTAAGAATGACAGTGACAACTATTAAAATAACAAACTAATTGAGGAGCCAACACGTGTCCCTCTTGAACTTTTCCTAAGCTTCCCTCCTAAGGGCTAAAATGTAAATAATTAAACTTATGGGTTTAAAGAACCCACTCTTTTCTATTTACAAAAGGTCCGTTATTAACAAATAACAAAAGTCTTCTTCTTCACAGTGATGATCTCAGATGGTCACATATTTAAGCTGTGCAAAAATGTAAACTGAGTCAAATTTGGGGGTTTGTGTATTATCTCTTAAAATTTTATTACAATAGGCTTCATACATATTTTGGTGCAGTACAATATAGTTTAATTCTGTAAGTTGAAAATAGATCCTAGTTTAGGAAGTTTTATATATAGTTTGATATGCTTCTGAAATGAGAGTAAGGAATGAATAAGCCTTTCCTACACTTCTTTTCCTGTTTCTTGTATCCGTATGATATTATAGTCCTTGAATATCTGAAATTAATGATTTCTTCTTAAATAGATCTTACTCCGTCATAACATATATGTATATTTTAACTATATGGTATACAACAATGCCACCATATACTCCGGACTTAACTTGAGAAATATCTCTTTCACGAATAGATATGTATGTTAAATTTAAAATTTCTAATTAATTAAATTTTAAATAGATAGAAATCCGTTCCAAAATATAACCCCCAAAATATTACAAAACCAACTCAACAGGTTACCAGAACAAGAGTTATTGCAAACACTATTGCTTGTGAGACATATTTCATTACAATTGTTTCACTTATTACTTTTTCTCTCATAGGGATTAGGGATTCCCCTCTACTTGTATATTACAAACATTTCTGGAGATTTGAACAGGTTCACATAAATTAGAACGAAGGGAGTAAAACAATTCAGACAAGATAGAGTTGCTCAAGTGGTAAGCACTCTTCGCCTCCAAACCTTGAGGTTATGGGCTTGAAGCATCAAAGGAGCAAACTAGGGAGTTCCCAGAGAGGGGTAAAAAAAATATGGCCGAAATAAAACTGAACAAAAGACAAAACAAGCAACCATAGGCAAGCTACAATAGAATTTGACGCAACATGTTAGAATCAATGGAAAAAGGCCGAAACTATGATGAGAAGAAAAAACCCCATGAGTTTTCATTCGATGCAAACAAGAACAAGAGAGAGAGAATGGAAGAGAAGAAGAATTAGGTCTTGGTCCAAATGAAAGTGACTTTGGTCGGAAAAACCAAAGTCCTTTATTTCACACTCATCAGCAGATCTCAGTCTTTCAAATAGAAAGCAACATGTTTCATCTCAACCGTTCATCTCATAAGGATTGATTTGATCAACGCCATTGATTATTACAGCTGTCCTCTTAGGATACCCATTCTAGAATATTCTTTGTAAATATAGGCACATCACAAACACAGATTTCTATTTTTATTTTCTAACACATTTGAATAGTTAGTTAGAAATAGAGAAATAAGAATAGGACACCTGTACAGTAGCTTAACAGATTTTATTTCTTTTACTTGTATAAATACATGTAAAGTTGATTGTTGAAATACGCAGAGAAAATTTTCTGCATCTTCATTCTTTCAATCCTTCATGGTATCAGAGTAGATCTCTGCTAGATCCTTCAACTTTTTCGTCTAAATTTCCTCCTTCTTCCTCGACTTCATCTACCATCATGACTGGAACAGATTCTGCTCCCACTCTTTCTCTTTCTGGTTCAACCAGTCAAGCTGCCAACCATGATGTGATCACCCCTACTTTCTTCACTCTTCAGATGCACCCGGAATGACTCTTGTCGCCTCACCCTTTGATTGAAGAGGATTCCCAGAGTATTGGTATTAGCTGAGATGAGTAGATGTTGGGTTAAGATTGATTATAGTTGTTTCTCCCTCGCCGGGACGTAATTACTTTTACTGTTGAATCCCTTGTCGGGATAGTGTAGTTTATTGCTGATCCCTTGCCGGGACTCGTGGTATGGTTGTTGTTAAAGGTATATAAATATATGGATTGGGTTGTAC